TAAAGGGACCTCAACTTACAGCGACACAGTCCACAGGCTAGGCGTCCCACAGGTAGTGTAGCCTTTAAATTGAGGCACAGAACAAGCAAGGCAGCCGCTCACAGGTCCGATGATCAAAGAGCAAGAGACAAGAAAGGCGAGGCTCACCAAGCCGTTTATCTCTCTGTCCTTCAGTTAATCCCACTTGTGTTTATGGCCAGGCTGGCACAATAAACTATCTCACCCCATGTTTGAAAAAGTGCGTTAAAAGAATATTCATCACAATGCTAGTTTATAATACTATAATAACCCCAGACCCCAAATCACTGCCACCAAGTCGATGCCAACTCATAACGACCCCATAGGACAGGGCGAATCTGCCCCTATGGGTTTCCCAGACTAACTCTTTTTTTTTTCTGTTTTAATCATTTTCTTGGGGACTCATACAGCTCTTATCACAATCCATCCACCCCTCCATTGTGTCAAACACATTTGTACATATGTTGCCATCATCATTTCCAAAAGTTTCTTTCTACTTGAGCCCTTGTTATCAGCTCATTTCCCCCTCCCTCACCCTCCCTCCTTCATGAACCCTTGATAGTTTATCAATTATTTTTATTTTGTCACATCTTACACTGGCTGATGTCTCCCTTCACCTACTTTTCTGTTGTCTGTCCCCCAGGGAGGGAGTTATATGTAGATCACTGTGATCGTTTCCCCCTTTCTCCCTGCACCTTCCCTTTCCCCTCCTGGTATTGCTACTCTCATTACTGTTTCTGAGGGTTTTATCTGTCCCAGATTTCCTGTGTTTCCAGCTCTTATCTGAACCAGTGTTCATCCTCTGGTCTAGCCGCATTTGTAAGGTAGAATTGGGATCTTGATAGTGGTGGGGGGAGGAAGCATTAAAGCATTAGAGGAAAATTGTATGTTTCATTGGTGCTATACTGCACCCTGCCTGGCTCATCTCTTCCTTGTGACCCCTCTGTAAGGGGATGTCCAATTGTCTACAGATGGGCTTTGGGTCTCCACTCTGCACTCCCCCTCATTCAAATTGATATGATTTTTTG